TCCAGGGTTATAGGCTGGACTAGGAAGCTGAAAAAACATCTCAGAAGATGGCAATTGTAAAGTATTTACATACTGTTTCTAAGAAAATTATACAGATATTGACCGTAAGTTACCAAGAGTTGAGCTTGACTTGACATACTTAATACTCCAGAGAAGAAGAAACTTGTACAAATAGGTTAGAAATATTTACATACTTTACCATGCAGAATATTGCTCAGGTACTGTTTTATTACCCGCTTGCTATCTTGTTTAAATCTGGTTTTGGTCCTATCCAGGTTCTTGAGCTCAATGCTGCTTCCTTGCTCTGGGTTGAGAAAGCAGTCCAGAGCAGAGAAAATCAATTCATATTTCATATTAAGAAACTCTAATGCCCCTAATACAATAGTAAGATCATCAGGTGGGTGTAATTAACTCAACCTGCTTGCTGGTTTGCAATTCAGTACAGCAACTTATAAGGAAATAGCAATTATGACTGCAAATGGTGTTAATTGGTAGCAGAAGCATTAGTGAAATCCTGCATAAATAATTGGGTTTACTGATATCAAGAACATGAGCAAATGTTATAAGTATGAACAGTACTTTTTATAATAAAATAAGGTTGCTCTCCATATGAACAGGGATGGCACCATTTCCAGCAGATCGCAATGCTTTATTCCCAAGATGTGAACTTTCTCTCTTGCTGAATGTTTGCATCTCTCTTTTTTCCTTCATTAAAACTCAACAAAACTTCTCATAGAGTTGCAACAGACATCTTCTTTCCTTGCCAGTATCAGGTGAGAAAAAGAGCAGGGGATTCAGAGCACACTGTTGCAATTAGAGATGGGCAAGAGTTGTAAAGTTTCCAGAAGTATGGAAGCAATGAAAACATGGGGGAGAGGGGGAGAAAGAGGGAGGATATATCTAAAGCACATAAACTACCTTGGCTGATCTTTAAAAAGCAAAGGAGTGTTGCTAGAACATAGTTAGGAAATATCCAGGAAATCTCAGAGCTGTAACCTAGACTGGGAAGTTAATTTCCCAGAAGAAAGGAACATCAAACTACTTCCATATTGTTGCCAAGGTAATGGTGTGGGTGTGTCTTTAAATCACTAAAAGATAAGCTCAACTTGAATGAAATTTCGTTTTAAGTACTAATGCTAGCATTCAAATGGATGTTACAAAGTCCTTTGTCTAGTTAACATTGTCTTCCTGGCTGACATTGGATGATCACAAAAAGCTAAGATGGATTGGACCTGGATAATATTTGAACAGGGGCCACCAGAAGAAATTCCTGAGAAACAGACTAGACCAGGAAGTCAAATGAAGCCCAGAAAGGAGGTAGTGGCAAGCCATTTCCATATTATTGTCAACCCCTCTACATGCATCCATGAAGTCACCAGGAATCTTCCCCTTTTTATTTACGTTTTAGCAGTCTTTAGAAATATAAATAAATGAGACTTCTGGGGGAGGTATGGTGAACTGAACTGAACTGAACTGAACTGAACTGAACTGAACTGAACTGAACTTGAACTGAACTTGAACTGAACTGAACTGAACTGAACTGAACTGAAGATGGCTTTGTGAAAGTGGAGCTAATGACCGCAGCAAAGACCAAGGAACCAGTGAGTAGACTGGTTCTTTGGAACCTCTCTGGATAAGGGGAGGATGGGAGATTGTCCACATGTGCTCCAGACAGCTGTCCCTTGTGAGGAGAATACAGGGCAGCGGTTTTCCACAGGGTTGAGTGTCAGGAGATCACAGGATTAGCCATCTTGCTCACAACCACAGTGGAGACTTTTAAAGGACGCTAAGTTCACAAACTTCCCTTTCTAATCATTTTTAGAAATTGCTCATCAAGTACTTCTAAGCTATTAGAGAATTCAGAATGAAGAGTTTGAAAATGCAGGGTGAGTCTGCTTTCAGTTGTGAACGAAAGAAAAATTTAATCATAAGCCTAAAAATTTAAAGAATCTGAAATAAACAGCAAAAAGCTAAATAAGATTTTGATCTTAGAATGTTA